GGCTAACGGAGGAGGAGGAGAAGAAGAGGAGGAGGAGGAGGAGGAGGAGGAAGAAGAAGAAGAAGATGACGAAGATGAGGGAGGAGAAGAAGAGGAGGAGGAGGAAGAGGAAGAAGAAAATGACGAAGATGAGGGAGGAGAAGAAGAGGGTGGGGGGGGGTCGAAGGGAGTTGAAGCAGCAATGAAAAGAATATATATATATATATATTAAACCGCTATGGCTAACGGTGGAGGAGCAGAAGAAGAGGAGGAGGAGGAGGAAGAGAAGAGGAGGAGGAGGAGGAGGTTTAAGAAGAAAATGACGAAGAAGAGGGGAGAGAAGAAGAGGAGGAGGTGGAGGAGGAGGAAGAACAACAACAAGAAGAATAACGCAAGGAAGATGAAGCAGCTTCGGAAAAGAAGAAGAAGAAGAAGAAGAAGAAGAAGAAGAAGAAGAAGAAAATAAACGGCTATGGCTAATGGAGGAGGAGGAAGAAGAAGATGCCGAAGAAGAGGGAGGAGAAGAGGAGGAGGAGGAGGAGGAAGAAGAAGAAGAACACAAGCTGATGGCTAAGAGAGGAGGAGGACTAGAAGAGGAGGAGGAGGTGGAAGAAGAAGAAGGAGAAGAAGAAACAGAGGACGGCTGTGGCTAAAGGGCGAGGAGAGTGACCGCAAAGAAGAAGAAGAAGAAACAAACCAGGAGGCGTGATGGAGTGGCTCGTTGGTGGGGGGCGCGATGGCACGGCTGGCTGGTGGAGGCGACGATGGCGCTGCTGCACCCCGCGGAGACCTACCGACGATGGCGCGGCTGCACCGAGTGATGGCACGGCTGGCTGGCGGTGGCGACGATGGCACGGCTGGCTGTCGGAGGCGACGACGGAGTGGATGCACAGAGTGGAGGCGAACGGGGTTGAATGCACGATGCATTTTCCCGCTGCACGATTTCGTTTCCCGCCCGAACTGCTTCAAAGCAGTGGTCGATCTTTGCCGCTGATCTGCAACGATTGGCGGCCAAGATTGGCCACTGTTTGGACTTCGAAAATCCGGGCCTACAGGACCCGGTAACGAAATTGCGGGGCAGGGCCCGCCCCAACGAGGCCTCCGTAATACATACGCACCGCCAAAAAAAAAATTCAGGCCCCAACGAAAATGTGCTGGGGGCGACCAGGAGGGAACCGGCCCAGGCCACCGGCCGGTCCAACCGGGAGGACCACGGATGGGGTAGGGGTCCCCGGTCCATCCAGGGACCAGCCCTGATGTAAACACATCATATCTGGAAGACGTTAGATACAGAGAAGACCGTCTTCCACACCATACATTAAACAGAACCTGTTAGCCTCTTTCTGCTACTACTTCACAACTAGCCGTCCAGCAGAAAACCGTGCTTGAAGAAGCAGTTGGGAGGCTCGCTTCACTCTGAAGAATCCCTCACAACTCCACCATCAACTGCAAGGGATTAAGCCACAGCTGATTCTGCCCCACTGATCTGCTGAAGACAGGCACAGGGAAAGGCGAACTGGGGGGCAGGCTGTTGACAGATGAAAAACCATGTCATCGACATGGGTTTTCAGCAGAGCTCTACTGAACACGCAGCACACGACACAGTCCGCTTTGGACCATGCACACACACACACACACACACACACAGAGGGAGAGAGAGAGAGAGAGAGAGAGAGAGAGAGAGAGAGAGAGAGAGAGAGAGAGAGTACAACAATCTTGTGTGTGTGAGATCCTGTCAATGCTGTCCCTGTGCAGGCGTAAAACGACTGTTTGATGCTGCAACAATGAACGGCAAGAAACATACCACAGAAGAAGAAGTGGTCTGCAAATTTATCACCCACACATCACAGAACATTTAACAAGTGTAACAGATATCAACTTGTCAAGATTACAACAGAGTGACATGCAATAAGAACCAGGCTACATAGAGATGGCTATGCGCCAACAAGAACCAGGAGTTTCCTGGGGGGAGATTGAAAAGAGAATACACGGTAACTTGATTAAAAAGGACACTTTATTGACAGCAAATTCTCAACCTGGAATCCAAAAGAGAAAGTGATATATGGCTCTGTCCCATGAACATCGATGTTCAGCTCATTGTGTGATGCCTCATCAAGCATGAGAAATCGTTCCCTCTGTGTGCACTAGCGTGTGCCTCGCACACACGCACACACACAGGGGGGAGACGAGGGGGAGAGAGAGAGAGAGAGAGAGAGAGAGAGAGAGAGAGGGGGGGCTGTGGGCCAAGGGGGGGGGGGGGGCAGAGATGGGAAACAGGGGAGGATAGAAGTAGGCACAGGAACAGAGGCAGAGACAGAAACCATGATCTCACTCTCCCACCCCAACTCAGGCTTTGCCCTCATTTATCTGATAGTAAAATCCGCTGTGATCTATCAAGTTGCTGTGCAAATGTCCAAATTTTTCCAAGCATGTCCTGCAGAAGCAAAGGCCCCAACAAAAAGAAATTAGTCAACCTTGAGAAACATCATGCTTTGCTTTTTCTCACAATATCACTGTATTGAAAGCATTAGCCGACGAACATGGCCCTGATTCATCATAACCACCATTCAGAGTTGGCACATGAGTATGAGAACACGACGACGATTTGGCATAAAGGGATGAGTTGGCCAATGACTTCGAGAGCACAGCCCCGATTCATTATAACCACCATACAGATTCTCTTCCCTCCCCCCGCCCTCCAAGAGTTTTGTGCTTCAAAATAAATGGATGTATTGGTACACGGACTACGAGAAGGCAACCCCTGTTCCTCACAACCTCCATACACATTCTCCCACACTACACCTCCAAAAGAGTTTGTTTCAACATATATGGACGCCTTGACACATGGAATACAAGGAGACAGCTCCAACGACACAACCTCCAGACACATTCTCCCACACTACACCTCCAAAAGAGTTTGTTTCAACATACATGGACCCCTTGGCACATGGAGTACAAGGAGACAGCTCCAACGACTCGTAACCTCCGTACATATTCCCCCCCCCCAACACCCACCCACCTTGCTTGCGCATGGTGCCCTCTCTGTGTCTCTCTGCTGTCAAAAAGCACGGAAAAACAAAGCACACCTCTGTCTCTTTGCTCTCCATCTTCCGGGCCCGCTTTTTGCTTTTTTAGATAGACTATAGATAGATATAGATTTTTTTAGAACAAAAGGAAAAAAAGGCACGAAAACAGCGGTGATAGTGACTGCACTCACAAAATGATTTGTGAAATTAAGAGGTGAAACAGAACACAGAAACCAACCATGAATCACATACACTCTACTTAGTAGCTGTGTACTTTTCCTCTCCGGTTTTGGTCTCGTTCATCATTGTACATTTGACATTGGTTATACTGTTTTTTTTTTTTTTTTACTGGATAAACCTCTTCGGAGATCGTATCCTGTTAAATTTTTCCTTTCCTTTTTTTATACCTTGTTTGACTGTTCTCAACTGTTACGCTCTTTCTTTTGCTTTTTGAACCTTGTTTGAACCTCTTGCGAATTTGGTGTTATCTTTATGCTTTTGTACCTCACTTGATCCTGTTGCAAGTTCGGCAAAACCCTTCTCTCATCACTCTATGGTTATCTTTGAATTTCATCTGTTGAACACTCTTCTTGCTGGCTGGAGAGCACAGCCGGGCTTTCTAGAAGGCAAGGAGAGGTTGACACCTCCTCGTCTTGGCAAAAAAAGCCAAACAAACGAACGGACAAATAAACAAACAAAACCACCAACCAACCAAACAAACAAACAAAAAAATTGAAAAATTATTCACTAACAAAGAGAGAAACAGCCAGACAAATAACGGTATGAAAGGATTTCACCGCTATCCGTCCTCGTTCCAGGTGGAAGCATTGACATACGAGAGGGAACTCTATGCTCTCTGGCAAGCCCTGGATCACTGAAGGCACTACCTGCTTGGGAGGCACTTTAAAGTATACTCAGACCACGAGACTCTAAGGTGGCTGAAGACACAAGCCAAGATGACGCCCAGTTAACTAGATGGGCTGCTGAGATAGATCACTCTGACTTCGAGCTAAAGCCCAGTAAGTACAACGTGGTAGCCAATGCTCTGAGTAGAAGGGCAGATTACTTCGTCGCGATGGTACACTATCTAAACATACGGGCGGACCTGCAGCGAAGGATAAGAGATGCATATGCTCAAGATCCGATTTACAACGAACTACTGAGACGTGTAAAAGAAACCCCGGATAGCGATCCACACTGTCGAACCACGAACGGGCTACTGTTTGAGAAGACCAATGTCGTTGCCAGACTGTACGTCCCCAATAATGAGGAGATCCGTAGCTTGATCTTAGGGGAATGCCATGATTTTAGCGGACCTCAGGTTGGCCTGTGAGACCAGCCCCTTGGCCTGTTCTCACAGGCCTGTGTTGTATTCAGGGTAGTCCAGTCCAGGCCGGTGCCTCTGTCGGTACCAGCCAGTCCAGTCCAATCCAGTCAGTCCGTTGGGGTATACCCCAGCTGTTGTCTGTTTTTGAGATCATTCAACATTGGCACATTTTGGAGTACGTGCGCTGGAGTCCAGCGTGGGAGCTGCGCTGCGCCATCTCACTCCCCCTTCATCCTCCATCTCCATTTCTATCCCAGGTGGAGCACCACACCTGGTGGGTCCGACACACTGCTATCAGAGAACGCTCCCCGCTCCCACCTACCACACCGCATAGCAGGGGAAACTGCCAAAACCCGACAGCGGTTTTTTTGGCTGTTTTTCGGTCCTTCGCAACAAAAAACAGCGGGAAATTGTGGCGAAACGTGCAGCAGCGAGGGAGCGACACGTGGCGAAAAAGGGAGCTGCCGTCACGACGCGTACGCGCAAGCGCCAAGGCCACCGCACACGCACGCGCCACGTGCCCACGCTGCCCTGCTGCCCCGCCCCGCCCCCGGATTATTTATTATCAAGATCCAGGATGCTGCTGCTGCCAGGGTTTGAACCTGGGCAGCTGCCACTCATGCGCATGCGTAGCCAGTGCCTTAACACATTGGCCACAGCCACAGGCTAAGCTAATACTGTGGCTCGCTGGTGTTGAAGAAGTGCCACGACAGCTATTTACCCCCCCCCCGTCGACAGCAACGCGCAGGCAGTTATTTGCGCCCCCTCCCCTCCACGCCCCGGTGGTGGGGAGACACCGTGGCTGGTGCTACCTGTGCCCGTGGGCATCTGCAGTGCCACGTGGCAGTCTGAGGTGGACCCTGAAGACCCCCTGATCATCGGCTGCTCTACAGTGGTGAGGGTCTGCTCACATAGCACACCCTGGATCTGCAGTGCTGCTGCTAGGGGCTAATCAAGATCTCAGCCCCCTCCCTCCTCCAGTTGGCTTGCTGCAGTGAAGGCCAAGACCCTCCTGGTCTTGGTATACCTTGTGCCCTTAGAAACACCAAGGGCCAGGTATCACCTCTCTCTTCCCTCTCCCTACTAACTCACTTTCTCTACCTTTTGTCTCTCCTCTTACTCACTTCCTTCTAATCACTTTCACCACTCATACCCCTCTTCCCACCCCACCTTTTCTCCCAACACCCTTTCCCATCCCTTTCCCATCCCTTTCTCTCCCATTCTCTCACCCTCCTCTCCCCCAATTACAACCCCATCACTACCCCCATCTCCCCCCTTCACTCTTTTTCTCTCTCCCACCTATTTCTCTCTTTTCTCCCCTTCCCCCCTTCCCCCCAACTTCAAAATTTTTCTGTTTTTCTTCTTTTTATCTTTCTTTGATTTATATTTCCTCCTTTTCTCCAAAAATTCGAATTATCTCATTCCCCATCTTCTTTTCTCATTTTCTGATTTATTTCATTTTCTTTTTTATTTATTCTGAAAATTCGAATTTCTTTGCGGCACCCTTAAATCTGATTAGGAGTTCGTCATTTTGCTTTCGGCACACATTTTGACCCCGTGGGGGTAACGAAGTGCAGCCGAAATTTTCTCATTTTACTCGGCCTTTCTTCTTGACGGCACACTTCGACCCCATGGGGGTAACGAAATGCTGCCGAAATTTAAAAAAATCCAACACTTCATTTCTCTTCACCTCCTCATCTACTTATTTATTTATTTATTTATTTATTTATTTATTTATTTGTCTCCAGGGTCACCAGCCCGTACGTACGGAGGTCCCCAGGCAGACCTCCGTACGTATGGGCGTTCGGGGTCCCGTACGGGGTCCGAGCCCGACGGCGTTCGGCCCCCACCAAAAATTATTTCAGGGCCTGAAAATAATTATTTTTTTCTGAATTTTTTTTTTGAGTTCTCTATGACGCGAGGTACATGCCTGTAAATTTTCAAGTCGTTTGGTTAAGCCAAATAAGAATTAACAATCGTCAAAGATGGCGGTGTCAAAACGTGCTGACCCACGTATTTTTTCACTTTTTACTTTTTGTTTTCACTTTAGTTCGGGGTCTAAACAATTTTATTATTTTTTGAAATTTTTTTGGTGGATTTTGTATTATGTGAAGTACACATCTGTAAATTTTCAGGGCATTTAGCTATGCCCAAAAAAAATTAAAAATCGCCAAAGATGGCGGTGTTGAAAACATGCTCGCGCAATCACTAAATTTAATTCTCTTTGTATTATTATTTATTTATATTACTAGTATTTGTTTTTCGTATTTTATTTTTATTTCAAATTTGGCAAGGAATTCGTATGTAATGCTCAGGCAAATCTTGTTTAATTATTTTTTCTCCATAACATATGCGAGGATCAGGGTCCTGTGTAGGCCTATGGGGCCCTGTCTGCAGCCTTACCCGCCCTAAGTGAAGGCAGAGGTGCCCACCCTAAGTGAAGGCGGGCCTGGCTTTTTGCAAAAGGCCTTCGACTGTCAATTTCATATTTGGGGTTCAGGCAGTTGCGACGCGCCAGTTGGTTGAAAGAAACACAGGCCGAGCAACAAAGACATTTCCACGGCCTACCGGGCCTTTCCAAAGAATGCAGGCCCTGGCCGTGATTCGCAGCCTCATACATAGACAGTTGGGCGCCCAACCGAACGAGGCCCAGCAGCCCAGTAGCTGCTGCATCCAGGTAGCCTCCTGGGGCCTTCCAGAAGCTTCTAGGCCCAGGCCAAGGCAGCCAGGCTGCGTGAGCAGGCCAACTCTTTCCATAAAGGAAAGAGCTCGGCCCTGGCTGCCTCATTCAGGCACTCGCATGCTGGGCGGCAGCGCTGCTGGAGCTTATGCTCGTAGGCTGCTGCTAGCGCAGAGAGGCGAGGTGCAGCACGTGCGGTCGTGCAGAGGAGGAGGGCGCTGCTGAGGGCAGCGCCATAGCCCAGCCACCATAGCTGGTGGGCTTGGACTACAGTGAGGCGCAGGGGTCGTCTTCGGGTGACAGAGAGGACAGGTGTGGGTGAAGTTAGGGGATAGGTGAAGGATGATGATGATGATGATGATGTGAGGGCACGTACCTTGTATTGGTGATGGTCTGCATGG